ACATAAGCTTATAATCATATTAACACGTTAACCATACAAATGTCCACAACACAGTATTAATCACGAACTAACAACGTGATTAACATAAGCTTATAATCATATTAACACGTTAACCATACAAGTGTCCACAACACAGTATTAATCACGAACTAAAAACGTGACTAACATAAACTTATAATCATATTAACACGTTAACCACACAAGTGTCCACAACACAGTATTAATCACGAACTAACAACGTGACTAACATTTAACACGTTAACCATACAAGTGTCCACAACACAGTATTAATACAACGTGACTAACATAAGCTTATAATTTTTTTTCCTTACTGTTTGACCTTTATCAAGTTTGGTTTTGGCCAATTTAACGTGACATGGATTATTTTATAGACATTTGTATAATATTTACTTGTACATAGGAATTACCGGTTTATTTTACATTGTTAGAACATTGTTAGAATATATCAAGACCCGCAATGTAATCCTTTGATTACAAATAGTTAACAATGGATACAAGTCCACCATACTGGTCATAACTCGAAACGAAACCACATAATTTGTTAAACAGTATATATACACATATACAACTACACACATGCATATATATATGAAATCATTACAGTGACGTCATACATTGTTAATCAACAATTTCTGAACAGCAATTAAGACCACGGTAAGTATAATAAATAAAATTAGCATTCCGAAAATTGGATAATCTCGAAGTCTAAGTTCAAGGAAGGTCCGGTTCAATCTACACGCGTGTTATTGGGTTATACTAGTTTCGGAGAATTCCACTGATCGTCAGTAACCCAATGATACTATTTCTTCCCTTTACCTGTCCAGTTTATTGGTTTTTCTCATAATTGGAAAAAAAACCTTAATAATGGGCTTTGAAAGTCACATTGGATTTGTAGTAACGCTACAATACACATCTTGTTATTCTGTGTGTTTATTAAGAATTATAAATATATGTAGTTGTGCTTCCACCTGGTGAGTATGACGATCAACTTACGCTAACACCAAGTTGATAGTTATCAGGTAAGTACTTAACTGTCCTGGATGGAATAGACACAGTATAACCTTTGTTTTAGTATTGAAAAGTATGGGGCACGTGCGATTAGAGTCAATAGTGCAATAATGTAAAAATTAAGCGTTTTAGTATATTTTTGTTAATGAAAATTAATTACTACAACAAATTTTATTCTGTATTCGTGTGTTACATGATGTTACTTAACTCACTCATTTAAAGAAAGTGGGAGGCAAGAAAACCATATCTATTAAAAGGGGGTGTCGTGGGAAACGCTATTTTATTGGATAGAGTCTATAGCCAATAATATATACAGGGACTAGAATGTTAGGACAATGGCCATTTTTGTTAGGTCAGTTTTTGACCAAAACAAATTAGCAGCTACTCACTCTGTTATCACACTGAAATTAATAAATGAAAGAGTTTAAAATGAAATGACAAGATAAGCCCTAAAGATTTAAATGAAATGACAAGCTGATCCCTAAAGATGTTAATAACTTCACCAGCTTCTTATTGAAACAAAGACAGAGGACAATAATAAAACTCGTAATATTTTTCCCAACGTTAGCAAAGATACGAAAGTATCCCGAAGGAGATTGAATTACCTCTGTAAAGATGTTTGCAGAAACTTCAAAATATTTAAATTATAAAGCAAAGTACCAAGTTTTATGTCATGAGTAATGTTTATATATATTACGTCTTCTTTCATTTTAAGTTGAAATATCGTTACATTCGTTGTTACAAGTCCACGTTGTTGCTGTGGAGCTTAGTTACATTCGTTGTTACAAGTCCACGTTGTTGCTGTGGAGCTTAGTTACAATCGTTGTTACAAATCCACGTTGTTGCTGTGGAGCTTAGTTACATTCGTTGTTACAAGTCCACGTTGTTGCTGTGGAGCTTAGTTACATTCGTTGTTACAAATCCACGTTGTTGCTGTGGAGCTTAGTTACATTCGTTGTTACAAATCCACGTTGTTGCTGTGTTACATTCGTTGAAAAGATAAAATTTTGAAATTCGTTTTGTATGTTTTTAACGACATCTTGCATTATTCATTACACTACGAAATTTATATAAATTGATAATATACGAGCACCGAAAAGTGAATCTGTTTGTCTTCTTTAAATAAATACAAATTTCCTGGCGTGTCAAATATTACAGTAGCAAAAGCTAATTACCTGAACCCCTCCCATTTTTTTAGACCAAACAGGAAACTTCAATTCGTATCTTATAAACCTCTTGCTTCCTAAGAAATGACGTCATCGAGATATTTCTGTATTGAAGACTTAGCAACAAAATAATTTAATTATTCTTTGATCCTATTCCCTAAATTAACACCCTGTTTTAACACGTACTGTTGACTGTGTCTACTTGTATATCTTTCACAAATCACTGCATCGTATAAACACGTTTAACCCTAATCAACGACAAGAAGAATGTGAAAAACGTGTCAACTAAATGTATCGAATGGAAATACCATGAAAGCTTTCGATAAGAAAAGTTTTCAAGAATGGCCAACGTCTAGTATTTAAATAGTTTTCCTGGGAACAAACCACTCATTCAAAATATTCATAAATCACAACATTTATATGTAAACATAGATATTAAATATACATTAATAAAATGTTTTCTTATAAACTGAATATTTTGTAATGTTTGAAAACGAGAAAAAGTAATTACGAAACAAACAGTGTTAACAGGAATATGTAAACAAACAGTGTTAACAGGCATCTGTAAACACACAGTGTTAACAGGCATCTGTAAACACACAGTGTTAACAAGCATCTGTAAACAAACAATGTTAGCAGAAATATCTAAACATAGAATTTTAACATTAATTACGAAACACACGTCTTATTAAATCAAGAAACAAAGTTTGTAGTATTGTTTACCGACAGTTCATTGTTACATAAGTAGTACTGCGTCTTATTAAAACAAGAAACAAAGTTTGTAGTATTGTTTACCGACAGTTCATTGTTACATATACTATATAGTTTGTAAGACTATATAAAGTGTAACTTAGACACTATGTAGTAAAAATATTGTGTAAAAGATAATTAAAAAGTATATTGTGAATTAGTAAGAAAAATACAGTTTTGTAAAACTGAAACGTTATTCTGAAATATACGTTATTCATTCCCTAGTATCAGCGGACCTTTTTACAACATTTATGTGACTATTAGGACTAATATTCCAAATATAATACAACAACCACTTCTCCATAATTTACAGATAATAATCATATACTATTGACAACTATATTTATAAGATAATTAACTCTTGATTTCTGTAGTCGAAAGAAATAACATTTCAACTTATATATAATCCTCCATAAATCTCAATTTACTCGTCGTATATAATTAATATTAGCTCAACTCTTATGCGTACACACGCACAGACACACACATATATAAGCATACAAACAAAATCCCAAGATTCCTAACACCACATTAATAACTTTTGGTTTGGTTCTTGACCTTATATACATGAAGTAAAACATCGTTATTGTCTTCAAAAAAAGAAGTAAGACCGATGTTTAAGAAAACATATATTGAAGAACTTAATTTCCGCGTTTTTTTTGTTTTTTTATAGGAAAGCCTCATTGGACCATCTATTGTGTCTCCATCGCAGGGAATCGAACCTAAGATTTTAGCGTTGTAAGTCCGTAGGCTTACCGCTTTCCCACAGTAGGGCGAAGAATTTGAAAGACGGTACACTAAACATGCGCACATACTGAGATGTCAGGTTTTGTTCCGTCTGTATATAAAAGAAAACAAATGTGTTTCTGTTTTTGATCTTTTGAAAGGTCTCAGATTAAACACTGGTTAAGTTTAAAGTATCAATCAGTCGAGTCAGATATTATTTTACTTGCGACTGTTTGATTTACTAGACGTAACTTCTTTCAGTCGTACAACCCGGAGACTCAGCGTTGACTGTTGAACGACACTGACAGGAATTGAGCACTTGGGGTGCGGCAATAGGATGACCGTTTTCCTTCATAGCCATTCCGCATTGCTTGGCTTCCACGTGGGTGGCTCTGGTGATGTTGGAAGAGAAGGTTCTTCCAGATGAGCGGCGAGAGAAGATCGTTGGGCAAGTAGAAGCAGAAGAACAGCAAACTCTGAAGACATTCTGGAAGTTAAAGGCATAACTTCCGTACACTAGAGGGTTGACGCACGAGTTGGAAACGGCAAACATGAATAATGCCGACTGGATCTCGGTGGCCAGCTCCTTAGCAGAGTCCAGGTCAATCTGGTACCACAGGACGATGACCACATACGGAGTCCAGCACCAGAAAAAAGCCAAGACGATTGTAATGGTCATTCGGAGTGTCCGAGCTCGAGCCCTTTCGATGTGGGTCATGTTTGAACGCCTTAGGCGAAGTCGACCTCTGTATTGCTGCTGTTCATTCATTACGTCCTCTAGAAGAAAAATGACTGTTGCACTTATACACCACATCAATGTTGAACAGAAAATAAATTAACCCATCATTTAACACGTAATGCACACCTCCTTGGTACAAACGTTTTCTCACGCCCACGGGGGTAGTGAAAAACGTAATTGGCTAAACTTTTTTTGTATTGATTCTCTCATAATATAACGGAGCCGAATCCGGGGTCTACTGAAACTCTACTGGATGGAGGATCTGTTGGATGTATTCAACGTATCAATGATGGTAATTTAGGTAGAAATTTTGTTGATGAACTGAAAAACGTTACGAATATTTTCAGAAGGACAAAAGGAAAAAATATGAAGATAGCTTTTATATGCGGAAACATCTGTTAGCTGAGTTCTTGCACAGATCTGAAAATATAACGTTGATAAACAGAAACATCGGCTCGTGTAGATCTTGAAAGTCGAGTTGTTCAAAATTTGAAAATAACGTTGATAACTAGACCAATTGTTGGCTGAGATGTTGCAATGGAAATATCTGCTGAAGTTTTTCTCCAGACACTAATCATAGCAGAACCGTCTGGAAAATGATCTACAGGAAGTAGTACAGCTTATAAAATGAGTCAGATCAACGTAGGCCGGTAAAGCAATCACTGATTGACATGTCCTTAAGCCAATCAGGAAATGTCACAGACCTACTGAAGGATGCATAGATTGTATAGGAATTTTTTTTGGCAGCAAAGGACAGGTTTATGTGTTTTAATAAAGGTGGCTTCCAAAACAGAGAGATGAAAGGTTGACAGACCATTTGCAATAATTTTAAACCTGCTATCC